TGTGCTAGATAACACCCCCCTTTTTTCTTTTTTAAATTACAAAGTTATATGTACTTGTTGGAAGAAAAAGTAAATCCATACAGAAATGGATAATGTAGAAAATAAAAGTCCTCTTTGTTCTCCCACTTCCTACGTGGAGTTTCAAATATATAGATCTTCCAGATTCATCTACACATGTACTAGTCAGTGCAAATATGTGTTTTATTTTATTTTTAATTGTTTCCCTTTTTCTTGTATTAAGGTGTGCAACATGATGTTTTTATATTCATATACATAGTGAAACGATTAGGACAGTCAAGCAAATCAACATACCCATCATCTCACACAGTTACCGTGCGTGTGTGTGTGTGTGTGTGTGTGTGTGTGTGTGTGGTGGGGGTGAGGTTAAAAGTACTTAAAATCTACTCTCTTAACAAATTTCCAGTATACAATATTTTTAACTATAGTCCTCATGCTGTACATTAGATCTCTGTGCTTATTAGTATTTATCCTGCATAACCAAAACTTTGTACCCTTTGATGTCCATCTCCCATTTCTTGCACCCCTAGTAAGCACTATTCTACTGTTTCTATGTATTCAAGTTTTTGTTTGGTTTTTAGATTCCATATATAAGTAAGGTTATGCAGTGTTGTGTGTCTGCCTTACTGCACTTTGCATAATGTCCTCCGCGTTGACCCATGTTGTGACAAATGGCAGGGGCTCTTTCTTTTAATATGCTGAATAATATTCTCTTATGTATACGTACCACAATTTTTTATGTATTCATCTGTCAACAGACACTTGGGTTGTTTCCACATCTTGGCTATTGTGAATAACGCTGCAATGAGCTTGGGTGCGCAGATATCTTTACACGGTGGTGATTTTATTTCCTGTGAGTGTACACCCAGAAGAAGAATTGCTAGGTCATATGGCAGTTTTATTTTTAATTTCTTTGGGAGCCTCTATATTGTTTTCTTTTCTTTTTCTTCTTCTTCTTTTTTTTTTTGAGACAGCATCTTGCTCTGTTGCCCGGGCTAGAGTGCAGTGGCATCAGCCTAGCTCACAGCAACCTCAGCCTCCCGAGTAGCACACCACCACGCCTGGCTAATTTTTTCTATTTTTAGTAGAGTGGGGCGGGGGGTCTGGCTCTTGATCAGGCTGATCTGAGACTCCTAAGCTCAAGGGATCCTTCCGCCTGGGCCGCCCAGAGTGCTAGGATTACAGGCGTGAGCCACCGTGGCCACCTCTATTGTTTTCCACAGTGGCTGCATCAATCTGCATTCTCACCAACAGTGTGGCCACACCCTTGCCACTCTTGTTATCATTTGTCTTTTTGATAATAGCCATCCTACTGTGTGAAGTGATATCTCATTGTGGTTTTGATTTTCATTTCCCTGAGAATTAGTGATGTTGAACACTTTTTCATATAACTGCTAGGCATTTTTGTTTCTTCTATTCGGGTCCTTTACCCATTTTTTTTTTTTTTTTTTTTGAGACAGAGTCTCACTGTGTTGCCCGGGCTAGAGTGCCGTGGCATCATCCTAGCTCACAGCAACCTCAAACTCCTGGGCTCAAGTGATCCTCCTGCCTCAGCCTCCCAAGTAGCTGGGACTACAGGCATGCACCACCATGCCCGGCTAATTTTTTCTATATATTTTTAGTTGTCCAATTAATTTCTTTCTATTTTTAGTAGAGACGGGGTCTTGCTCTTGCTCAGGCTGGTCTCGAACTCCTGAGCTCAAACAATCTGCCCGCCTCGGCCTCCCAGAGAGCTAGGATTACAGGCGTGAGCCACCGCACCCGGCCACTGTTGATTGTTTTCTTTGCTATACAGAAACTTTTTAGTTTGATGTATTCCCACTTGTTCATTTTTGCTTTTGTTGCCTGTATTTTTGATGAGATATCAAAAAAAATCTTTCCAAAGCCAGTATCGAAGAGTTTTTCCATTAGGCTTTCTTCTATGAGTTTCACAGTCCCAGGTGTTACATTTAGGTTTTTATTCCATTTTGAGTAGATTTTTGTATATGGTATAAGACAAGGATCCTGTCTTATTCTTCTCATGTGGAAAGCGAGTTCTCCTAAGATCATTTATTGAAGAGACTGTCCTTTCCCCATTGTGTCTTCTTGGTGGCCTTCTCAAAAATTAGTTGACTGTATATGCTTGGGTTTATTTCTGGGCTTTATTCTGTTCCATTGGTCTATGTGTCTGTTTTTATAAAGGTGTATATTTTTACTGTGTATAAATTATACTTTAATTCACCTTACTAAGCAAACAAGCAAACAAAAATCCTTGTTCAGCCAATGAACACCTTTCTTTCTGAGCATATTTGATCTGCTGACTCTCCAGCTTTAGCGTCTGAAGTCCTTGCTGCTGCTGTCCCAACCCCTGACAATATGCAGCACGTGGTTCATTGAAACTCGGGTCTGCTCCCATGCCTTACTTGCCTCTCCTTCATCCTTTAGAGCATTCTCTACATGCAAACCCATAGCAACCGTGGTAGTAGTGGGAACCAACCGCTGACACCAGCTTCTCTGTGCCAGTCTCAGTTCTAAAGGCTTCATGTTTACCCTTTCACTTAGTCCTTCTGACAGCCCTTTATGAGAGGTGCCATTATTGTCCTCATTTTACAGCTGAGGAAACTGAGGCACACAGAGACTCAATCCCATGCCAACACCCTTCCACTGAACTTGGACGCTCATCCTTCTCACTCCAGGGTCCCTATGCTCAACCACGAGGCTGAACGAATGCCTCTCCCTCACCAAGCCCTGTTGAACTCATGCCTTTGTCAGGCTGTTGTCCTGCAGCCGCCATGTGGAGCTGCAGAAGCAGGTCTGTGTGTCTGTCTCTGCTCTGGCTCCTTAAGGGTAAGGCTTTGTGTTCGTGCCTGGCATGTACAAGCTGCTCCATAACTGTTAGTCAGACGGTGAGCCAATAAGCCAGGGAGTAGAATTCGTGCCTTAGAGATATCGCGTGGTGGAGAGAACCACACTGCCTGCCAGCTGCCTCCGTGTGAGGGGGAAAGAGCATGCAGTCTGGGCTTTGAAGGCTGGGCATGCTCTAGATCCTTCACTTACTAGCTCTGATATATCCTCAGTTTCCCTCGCCTCACTGTCACCGGGGCAGTCACAGCACTCGCTGGGCTGCCGTGAGTGTCAGAGGTAACGTGGATTGAGCACCACCAGTTTCCCCCCTGCCCGCCTTTCCTGGCCTTCCCTGTTGCTCCTGCAGGGTGCCTCGGAGGAGAGGCGAGGCGGACCCAGCTGTGCAGCCCAGGCTGTTTTGAGAACACTATTGGTTCTTTCTGGAAAATCCAGCTCTGTGAGTAACCATTAGTCTCTCCGACTTTGCCTATGATGCAAGCTTGTTCACTCCACGCTCAGACCACATCCTTCCTGCCGCTGCTGGGGCTTTGACCGCTATAAATTCATTGCATTTCCTCTCTGGCTGTTCCTGAGTCTGGTGTCTGGGTGAGTCCAGCTCCGTGGAGCAGGGAGGGCGAGAGAACTGGGGGAGCATGGGGAGGGTGTCTCGAGGGGGCACAACTTGTCTTGGTTAATGGACTAAGAGTTTCTTGTTCTGGCCTCCCAGTCCGTCCTACAGCAATGTTCCTGAAATGTTCTTCTATGTTTGCCATGATTCGGGCCTCTGTGTACGCAGGTGCGTGTGTGTATGTGGGAGGGGCAAGGATCAGAGCGGAGTGTGCCCAGGGTGAGGGTTAAAGGATCTCAGAGGGGAGGTGGCGTCCTGGTGTAGATGGAGAGACTGATGTGGTGGGAGCTGAGAGACCTGACTGGAGACCAGTTCCCCCAGGATGTATAAGGGATGGGTTTGGGGTTGCTCATGAGGCCAGGAGTAGAAAGGCATGAGTGGACATAGAAGAGGGACAGATGAGTGAATCTGAGGTGTCTCGGACATCGAACTGCAGTCACGTAAATTCCCATTTGGGGAGTGTTGCCGTTTTCCCGAACCTTTCCCTCTCTTGAGCATCACTATGGCTTTGTGTCGATGTGTTGCTTTGCCAATAGAGTAAAATGAAGGCATCGAGAAGGGAAAAATTCCAAACAAAGATAACTTGTTCATCTATCCAAACTCAAAGAGGTATGGAAAATCAAAAGATATAGCAGGTGATTCCTAGATTTTGTGGAACTCGAAGTCAAGTTAGGAAAACTATGTTGGTGAACACTACAGTGAAAACATTTGCGACCGATGTTGGGGAAGTGTATTTGTCTTTTCGCCGTCTATTTTATTGTCTCTGTTTTTGTTTCTGTCCGGAACACCTGGTTAAGTCATACCTCTGCTAGAAATCCTGGCCCTGTTCCTTCCTGGCTGCAAACCCCTGGGAAAGTTTCTTAGTCTCCCTAAGACTCAGCCTCTATATCCATAAAATGGGGCTAGGAACATACACACCTCATAGAGCTTTGTGCAGGTTAGATGAGAATAAAACACCAGTCAGTGCCTAGCCCATGAGAAGCTCTAAATAAATATGAGTTATAATAATTATTATAATTGTGAGTTTTGCAAAAAGACATTAAGGACATGTGTGTGTTTATTATTCTCCCTTCTGCACCCCAAGTTCCAGTTTCTGTCAACGAATGGATTGATAGAAGGGCAGTTGAAGACCGTCCCCCTTCGTGGTGCCTTTTCTCTCTCCTTCTTCCTTCCCAACCACGTACCTGCCATGCTGTTATCACCATAGAAACTCATCTCCTGGCCTCTTCCTTCCTTTGTCCCACATCCATCTTCCCTCAGGTCTGGACAGAAGTAAGGAGCCAGAGCCTTCAGTCGGAAGGAACTTGGAAACAATCTCTTCTGCTCTCTCATTTTATAGATAAGGAAACTGAAGTGGAGGAATAGTAAGAAGTTTGTCCAGGTCATAGCCCAGTAACCAATGTGACAGAGGTTCTCTTGGTGACAGTCAAGGAGGCATGATGACGTGATGGTTCATTGTAGCCTGTAATAGGATCATGTTTTTGGGTTCATTACATATTTTTTCCTCCGTAGGGAAACTTTTCTTCCATGGCTCAGGACATACTCCTGCATCGAGCCAACGGGAGAGCCTCCAGGTAAGCCTTTGGCTCACTTCTCAAAATTAATGATGGTGACTTGTTATAGTCATGTAATATTTTTCCCCTTTGAGTTTTCTGAGTTTTTGATAATTTAGTTCTCTTTAAGTGGAGACTTTCAAAAGACTGTTGTTAGCCATATGCTGTTGTCACACTGTCTGGTATCCCAGTGGACCAGAGCCCAGGGACCCTGAGAAAGGCCGCAGATGAAGATGGCAAGCACCCGCTGCAAACTGGCCAGATACCTGGAGGACCTGGAGGATGTGGACTTCAAGAAATTCAAAATGCATCTGGAAGACTATCCTCCTCAAAAGGGCTGCGTCTCGCTCCCGCGGGGCCAGACAGAGAAAGCAGACCACGCGGATCTGGCCACCCTGATGATCGATTTCAACGGGGAGGAGAAGGCATGGGCCATGGCCGTGTGGATTTTTGCTGCAATCAACAGGAGAGACCTTTATGAGAAAGCTAAGAGGGATGAGCCAGAGTGGGGTGAGTGGAAGGAGGAGCTTTTTGTTTTTAAGTTGTGGTAAAGTACATGTAACATAAAATTTACCATTTTAATAATTTTAACCGTACAGTTCAGTAGTGTTAAGTACATTCACGTTGTTGTGCAACCAATCTCCAGAACGCTTTACGTCTTGCAAGGCTGAAACTCTTTACCCGTTAAACATACTCCCCACTGGCCCACCCTCCTAGCCCATGGGTGTGGAGCCCGTGGCCTTCTGAATCCTTGAATGCAGCCTTTTGACTGAATCCAAATTTTTCAGAACAGATCCTTTTAATAAAGGGATATGTTCTGTGAAGTTTGGACTCCGTTGAGGGTCACGTGGACCTAGTCCCTAGCATGATAACCACCATCCTGTTTTCTATGCATTTGACTGTCCTGGACACCTCATATAAGTGGACTCATGTTCAGTGTTTGTCTTTTTATGACTGACTTATGTCCCTGAGCATAATGTCCTCTGCGTTCATCCGTGTCGTAACTCATGTCAGAATTCCCCTTTTAAGACTGGGTAACATCCCGCTGTGTGGATACACCACAGTTCGTTTATTCGTCTGTCCGTGGACACTGGTGTCACCTCCACCTCTGCGTTACCGTGAACAGTGCTGTTACAAGCATTATTGAAATATCTCCTTAAGACCCTGCTTTGAATTACTTTGGGTGTATGCCCAGAAGTGGAATTTCTGGATCATATGGTAATCCTATGTTTATTTTCTTAAGGAACTGCCATGCTGTTTTCAATAGCATCTGCACCATTTCATATTCCCACAGTGCACAAGGGTCCCAATTTTTCCATATCCTTGCAAACACTTATTTTCTGTTTTTTCTTTCTGATAGCGGCCATTCTAATGAGTATGAGGCGGCATGTCATTGTAGTTTTGTTTTCATTTCTCTAATGACGAATGATGCAGAACACCTTTTCAAGAGCTTGTTGGCTATTTATATTTATTTCCTTGGAGAAAAACATGTTCAGGTCCTTTACCCATTTTTTTTTTTTTGAGACAGAGTCTCACTCTGTTGCCCTGGCTAGAGCGCCGTGGCGTCATCCTAGCTCACAGCAACCTCAGACTCCTGGGCTCAAGCGATCCTTCTGCCTCAGCCTCCCGAGTAGCTGGGACTACAGGCATGCGCCACCATGCCCGGCTAATTTTTTCTATATATTTTTAGTTGTCTGATTAATTTCTTTCTATTTTTAGTAGAGGCAGGATCTCACTCTTGCTCAGGCTGGTCTCGAACTCCTGAGCTCAAACAATCCACCCGCCTCGGCCTCCCAGAGTGCTAGGATTACAGGCATGAGCCACCGCGCCCAGCCCCCTTTACCCATTTTTTAATCAGGTTGTTTGTTTTTCATTGTTTACTTGTAGCAGTTCTTTATATATTTTGGATATTAACCGCTTATCAGAGATATGATTCGCAAATATTTTCTCCCATTATGTAAATTGCCTTTTCACTTTGTTGACTGTGTCCTTTAATACACAGAAGTTAGTATGTTTTTTTAAAAAAATCACTTCTTGTATTGTCTTGCCTTCTTCCTCTCATGGTAGTGCTATGAGAAGATGGAGGAAAACAGTTTGCTTTTTCTAACTCCTTTAGGAACCCAATTCAGATTTCACCTACCTTTAGCAACCTGTCCTCATTACTCCCACCTTTTCCAAATCTCTCTGTGCCTGGACCTGCCTCCAGGTTTCCATCCAGCTCCTCATACTACGTGTGGTTGTGCTTAAAACACAATTATAATTGTGTCAGTACTTACATACTCATAACCAAACCAAAGTATAATAATTGTAGCTGCAGAAGTACTTCCCTAAGCAGTGTTTACGGCTTCTGTTTCACATTCAAGAACCCCATGTGGTAGTTACTGATACTGTCCCTACTTTCAAACGAATGAAGTGAGCCTGGAAGAGATCTAACTGCTCCTTTCTAGTCAGAGCCAATGCCAGGATGACAAGCCAGGTATGTCTTTGACCAAAGCCCAGCTGTTAACCACTATGTCTTATGGGCTTCCATATCTGGATCTTGAGGCAGAAAAATTATTAATGAGGGTTAGAAATTATTATTACTTTTTTCTGAGCTAGGGTTAGGCTTTAGGTAAGAATTAGTCTTTGGTTTTGGTTTGAGTTATATGTTTGGATTTTTTTTTTTTTTTTGTGATCAGGTTACCAATAGCATTTGCTTTCAGAATAAGTAGACAATTACCAAGAATCCCTTTTGTCACTCTTAGGTGGTTCCTACCTACCTAAAGCTATCTGTCTCACATATTTCCCTTGGTGACTAGCTCTTGTTCTACCATGTCTCCATTTCTCCTGTAACACTCCTCCCTGGGATGTGTTATCTAGTGACTGTTTAGATCCGTGGTTCTCAGCTGTGGATGCATGTTGGAGTCACCCGGGAACTTTGACTGTGTACGGGTGCCCGGGCCTCACCTCAGATGGATTGAAAAAGAATCTCTGGGGGTGGAGTCCTGGAGTTGGCATTTTAAAACCTTTTTAAACCTTCCTAGGTGAATCAGCCAGGACTCTGAACCACCAAATTCGACATGAAACAGATTGGTAATTCTTACTCTTAAAGACCCAGAAATTTAGACCTGAAAGCACAAGATGTGGGTAAAATAGATCACAGGTATTTGGAGTCAGGGAAGGGTGATCCTTAGCCCAGGGCCTTCTTGGGGATATTGGAAGACTTGAAGATGGCCTCAAAATCAGTGTGCCGGGAACTGCCAAAGACAAATGAGGGTAAAAGAAACGTTGCCTACTTCACATGTTTGCTGATCAATTTCTGGGCTGGGAAAGAGATTCTAAGGCTGGGTACAGTGCGGACACAATGGTTGGCAGGTAGGTGACAGCCATTGTTTTGAAATTTGTGCGGGAATGCTCCCAGCTGGACTTTGGACTACACACCTGCCATCTGCAACTCTGAGCCACGTGTTGATTTGGGAGCTGTTTGGGGCATCTTGGCCCATGCCAAGTATTAGGCTGGGTGTCAGTTGCATCCTCTGAGTTAAGAGTTCTGGTTTCTGACACTTTGTATTTTTTTTTTCCTTTTATGTTCAGATAATGCACATGTTTCTAATCCCCCTGTGATATGCCACGAAGAGAGCATTGAAGAAGAGTGGATGGGTTTACTGGGGTACCTTTCCAGAATCTCTATTTGTAAAACGAGGAAAGGTAAGCAATCGGTGGTGCTTCCAATTGGGGTTTGAGACCTGGTTCAGGAGGCTCTGGGAAGTCTGGCCATCGTACGTGCTCCTGCTCTTTGGGGATGCAAAGGCCTATCTCAGCAAATGCACCATCAGCTGAAGAAATAAGTTCATGTTTGCCTGGTTCCTTACAGCCCCAGGACCCAGGGAGAGGGGATTAGGTGTTTCACGTTTTAAAAGGCATGGGCTACAGATTACTTAAAATTGAAAAAAAGGGTTTTCTGGCTGGTGGTGCATAGACAGCACTGATGTTTTGCTCAACCGTGTATGCGAAAAATTGACGCCAGAGTTTCTGGGACCTTCCGTACGCAAGCAGTGGAGAGGAACTGCACTTCCCATTTCTCCATTCCAACTGCCAGTTGCGCAGGGCGCTCCTGTTTCGGTGGATGTGTGAGGGCTTTTCCCGAAGCCTACCTGTCTGTCTCTGCCGTAGATTACTGCAAGCAGTACAGAAAACACATGAAGAGCAGATTCCAGTGTATCGAAGACAGGAACGCCCGCCTGGGTGAGAGCGTGAACCTCAACAAACGCTACACGCGGCTGCAGCTCGTCAAGGAGCACCCGAGCCAGCAGGAGAGGGAGCACGAGCTCCTGGCCATAGGCAGGACCAAGACGTGGGACAAGCCCGTGAGTCCCATTAAGATGGAGCTGCTGTTTGATCCCGACGATGAACACTCCGAGCCTGTGCACACGGTGGTATTTCAGGGAGCGGCAGGCATTGGGAAAACAATACTGGCCAGGAAGATCATGTTGGACTGGGCGTCGGGGAAGCTCTACCAAGACAGGTTTGACTATCTGTTCTACATCCACTGTCGGGAGGTGAGCCTGGTGACACGGAGGAGTCTGAGGGACCTGATCGTTAGCTGCTGCCCTGACCCAAACCCACCTGTGCAGAAGATCATAAGCAAGCCCTCCAGGATCCTCTTCCTCATGGATGGCTTTGATGAGCTGCAGGGTGCCTTTGACGAGCACGTGGGGGCACTCTGCACCGACTGGCAGAAGGCCGAGCGCGGGGACATTCTCCTGAGCAGCCTCATCAGGAAGAAGCTACTTCCCGAGGCCTCTCTGCTCATTACCACAAGACCCGTGGCCCTGGAGAAACTGCAGCACCTGCTGGACCATCCCCGTCACATAGAGATCCTGGGTTTCTCAGAGGCCAAAAGGAAGGAGTATTTCTTCAAGTACTTCTCAGACGAGGCGCAAGCCAGGGAAGCCTTCAGACTGATCCAGGAGAACGAGGTCCTCTTCACCATGTGCTTTATCCCCCTGGTCTGCTGGATTGTGTGCACTGGCCTGAAGCAGCAGATGGAGAGTGGCAAGAGTCTTGCCCAGACGTCCAAGACCACCACTGCGGTGTACGTCTTCTTCCTTTCCAGTCTGTTGCAGTCCCGGGGAGGCAGCCAGGAGCACCCCCTCTCCCACCACCTTCGGGGGCTCTGCTCTTTGGCCGCAGATGGAATCTGGAACCAGAAAATCCTCTTTGAGGAGTCTGACCTCCGGAATCACGGCCTGCAGAGGGTGGATGTGTCCACTTTCCTAAGGATGAACCTGTTCCAGAAGGAAGTGGACTGCGAGAAGTTCTACAGCTTCGTCCACATGACTTTCCAGGAGTTCTTCGCTGCCATGTACTACCTGCTGGAAGAGGAGGAAGAGGGAGGGCTGCGGACCGCGCGGGGGAGTCGTTCAAAGCTTCCGAACCGAGATGTGACGGTCCTTCTTGAAAACTATGGCAAGTTCGAGAAGGGGTATTTGATTTTTGTTGTCCGTTTCCTCTTTGGCCTTGTAAACCAGGAGAGGACCTCCTACTTGGAGAAGAAACTAAGTTGCAAGATCTCTCAGCAGATCAGGCTGGAGCTGCTGAAATGGATAGAAGTGAAAGCCAAGGCCAAGAAGCTGCAGATCCAGCCCAGCCAGCTGGAATTGTTCTACTGCTTGTACGAGATGCAGGAGGAGGATTTTGTGCAAAGGGCCATGAACCACTTCCCCAAAATTGAGATCAATCTCTCCACCAGAATGGACCATGTGGTTTCTTCTTTTTGTATTGCAAACTGTCGTAGTGTACGATCACTTTCCCTGGGATTTCTTCATAACACGCCCAAGGAGGAAGACGACGAGGAGGAGGAAGGTCGATACCTTGACATGGTCCGGTGTGTCCTCCCAGGTCCTCATGCTGCCTGTTCTCATCGGTAAGGAAATTCGGCTTCTGGCAGGTAAAAGAACATGCCCTCTTCTTTCTGGCCACCTTTTTCCTTTTCTTTTCTTTCTTTTAAATTTTCAATTATTGTGGGCACATAATAGGTATATATGAGAGCTGTCTGGAAAGTATCCAGCCATGTGACCGTTATCGTTGTATTAACAATGGCTGGATATTTTCTGGACAGCCCTCCTATATTTACGGGGTACATGTGATATTTTGATACAGGCATACAATGTATAGTGCTCAAATCAGGGTAATTGGAGTATCCATCACCTCAAGCGTTTATCATTTCTTTGTGTTTGGAACATTCCAATTCCACTCTTTTAGTTATTTTAAGGAGTACAATCATTTATTGTAAGTCAACTTATTGTTGACTATAGTCACCCCGGTTTGCTGTCAAATATTGTATCTTGTTCATTCTATCTAACTATATTTTTGTACCCATTAAGCATCTCAACTATATCCCCACCTTCCTGCTCCCCTTCCCAGTCTCTGGTAACCATCATTCTACCCTCTGTCTCCATGAGTTCAATTTGTAAAATTTATAGCTCCCACATATGAGTGAGAGCATGTGACACTTGTCTTTCCATGCCTGGCTTATTTCACTTAACATAATGACCTCCAGTTTCATCTCCATGTCGCTACAAATGACAGGCTTTCATTCTTTGAAATGACATAACATGAATAACATTCCATTTTATATATATACCACGTTTTCTGTATCCATTCGTCCGTGGAGCACTTAGGTCGATGCCACATCTTGGCTATTGTGCCTAGTGCTGCAATAAACATGGGCGTGCAGATGCCTCTTTGGTCCACTGCCTTCCTTTCTTTCTAATATATGCTCAGTAACAGGGTTCCTGGATCATATGGTAGTTCTGTTCGTAGTTTTTTGAGGAACCTCCATCCCATTCTCTGCAGTGGTTGCACTAATTTACATTCTCTCCAGCGATGCACGAGAGTTCCCCTTTCTCCACGTGCTCGCCAGTGTTCGTTATTGCCTGTCTTGTAGACAAAAGGCATTTTAACTGGGATGAGATGATATCTCATTGTGGTTTTGCCTTGCATTTCTCTGCTGATCAGTGATGTTGAGCACTTTTTCATATACCTGTTGGCCACCTTTTTCTTGGCACTTTCTTCCTCTCCTCTTTTCAACTATTTTCTACATACAATTACCAGAGCTATGTAACGCCACCACCACGCATTTCTACCAGAGCCCTACATTGGCAGAGACTGACTTATAGTGAGAAGATAAATGGGATGAGAAAAAAAAAACAACAATAAAACAAGAAACAAGAGTGTGGGGAATGCCAGTCTAGCACAAGGTATTATATGGGGCATAGGATTGCATACAAATGTTTGTCAACTTAAATTGCTTGTGATCTACTTGGAGCACTAATGCATGGTAGTCAGAGCCGAAGCGCAAAACAAGCCCACAGTTTCTGTGTCCCCAGAACACAGAGGACAGGGGTCCTTCAAGCTGGAGGCTGGGGGCAGCTTTCTAAGAAAAGTAAAGTTTGAGCCTCTCCTAAAGGATCGGTAGGACCCAGGTGAGTGGAGAAGAAGGTAAAGGGTTGAACAAGGTCATGAACAAAGTTTGAGAAAATAAAGTATGTGCAGATGACAGTGGGGAGGGATACAGATTTCTTGGAACAAATATAATGAGGGTAAATCGAGGGAAGCAGAGCTGGAAAGGTGAGGGCCTTCCTCCCGGGCCCCCCTGCTGCTTTGCATGAGGCTGTTGCCAGAAGCACCCCCTTAGGGTGTGTTCACAGACTTGCTAGGGATTGGAAGCCACAGGAAGCCAGGGGACGAAGTCTGAACAGTGAAGTGGGTGAGTCACCTGACTTCTGAGTCCCTCCCTGGTTTATCCTTCACTGCCTCCTACCCTCCTACCCAGGGGCCACCCGCAGCGGCTGTGGGAAGGTGGCCACTCTGTTAACGTGTGGCTTTGTGCTCTATAGAAGACGCTTCACACAGGGCAAAACGAAGGGAAACAGGAGGCTGGGCCCTTCCCCGGCAGCAGTGGGTGGCTCTCTCTATGCCTTGACATCACCACTACCAGGATGACTTTCTCATCACCATTTGGCCATGAAGGACTGACTGACTGCCCACTGGGGCTGCAGTGGTGCTGAGATCCAGGTCCTGCTCACAGGGGCTTGAGTCCTGGTTGCGGGGATGGTCGGGAAACCAGGGTGGGCGGTCGAGGGCTGCGGGCCTCGGCAAGCGCCCTTGCGGAGCACGCAGAGCAGGTGGGCAGGGGCCTCGGCCAGCAGGAGGCAGGTTAAGGGACGGGTTGCACCTTGGCCAGGTCCTGAAAGATGGGGCTGAGAGACCCGAGTGTGGACGAGGGGCCGTCCAGACCGAGGGGACAGCGGGTTCAGAGGGCAGGCCAGGAAAGCAGGGCTTATTTCAGCAACGGCAAGTAGCTCAGAGTGGCTAGAAAAGAGACTCGGTGTCTCAGTCCACGTGGGTGGCTCTAATGAAGCACATGGGCTGGGCGGCTTATAGACAACAGGGAGTTATTTCTCACAGCCCTGGAGGCTGGGAAGTCCTCGCTCAAGGCCCCGGCGGCTTCGCTGTCCAGCGAGGGCCCACTTTCTGGTTCACAGGTGGCACCTTCTCGCCGTGTCCTCATGTGGTGGAAGGGGCGAGGCAGCTCTCTGGGTCCCTTTTATAAGGCCAGTGCTTGCTTCCGTGGGGGCTCCACCCTCATGACCTAATCGCATCCCAAAGACCCCGACCACCTAATGCCATCCCGGTGAGGGTTAGTATTTCAGTATATGAATTTTAGGGGGACACAAGCATTTAGACCATAGCAATGGGAGAGGGAGAGAGAGAGAAAGGTAGAAAAAGAGGCAGAGCCGCCCATTAGGGCCCTAAAAGCGAGGTGGAGAGGACAAGAGTCTTGACCAAGCTCACACGGCTGCGAGGAAGGCTCGCCGAGACTCTGACTCAAGCTCCCGGTGAGAAGCTTGGCATCCGTCTCTCCAGATGACAGCTTCCTTCCTCTGGGGGTGGGAGCTTGCTTTATGTCCAGAGCCTCCTGAGAGCCAGCAGGGTGGGCCTCGGCCAGGCACCTGTCACAAGTGCGAATCACAGACCCAATCCTAGACCTAGAGAGTCAGACTCTGCATTGGAACAAGAGCCACGGGTGATTCACATGTGACCGCATGTTGGAGTCACCTGGAATTTTAAAGAATATCCATGTACCCTGGTCCCAGACTTTATTGCCATGGGTGTGGCCTGGCCTCAGGACCTTTGAGAGCACCCCTAATGCTATGTGCAGCCAGTGTGAGGACTGCTTTCTGGAACATTCAGCACAGAGCGTCCGGGGTCATGGGCAGGACAGTGGACCGATGAGGGAGGGAGGAGAAGGACACCAGGGGAGAGGCCAGAAGCCACCCACCCAGGGTTGGCCAGAGTCAGGCTCATGCTCTTCCCAACATAGAGTGTGAGAGCTGGTCTTAACAAGGCTCACCAGCCTCTTTGTTCCTCCGGGAAGGACTTTGGCTTTGTGACCCATTTCTTCACCCTGGGAGTCCTTTCTCTGAACGGGCGCCCCGGCCCCCCGCTCCGGTTTGTTACTAGGAGAGGCTGATTTTCTTTTCTCTCCTTCTTCCTTCCAATTTCTAGATTGGTGAACTGCTATCTCACTTCCAACTTTTGCCGGGGCCTTTTCTCGGTTCTAAGCACCAACCAGAGCCTAACTGAGTTGGACCTGAGTGACAACACTCTGGGGGACCCAGGGATGAGGGTGTTGTGTGAAACGCTCCGGGATCCCGGCTGTAACATTCAGAGACTGTGGTAAGTCCCTGTGCGTGTGTGACAGGGAGGGACAGAGACAGGCAGGCTCTGGAGAAGGGGCTTAGGGACTGGGTCAGTGGTGCGTTACTTTCCTAGGGCTGCCTAACAAAGTACCACAGGCTGAGTGGCTTAAACAACAGAAATTTATTTTCTCACGGTTTAGGAGGCTGAGTCCAAGATCAAGGTGTTGGCAGGGACGGTTTCTTCTAGGCCCTTGGCTTGTATTCTAGAAGGCCGTCCTCTCCCTGCGCCTGCACGGTGTTTTCCCTTTGGGTGTGTCTGTGTCCTGCTCTCTTCCTTTAAGGACACCGGTCAGAATGGATGAGGGTCCACACGGGTGACCTCATTTTAACTTAATTACCTCTTTAAAGACCCTATTTCTAAATACAGTCACATTCTGAGGTCCTGAGGGTTAGGGCTTAGACATGTGCATTTTGAGGGGGACATGATTCAGCCATGACAAGTGAGAAGGCAGAGTGAACCGGAGGCCTGCTGTCTGGGCCGTGCTGGATGTGGAAGTATGAGGGGAAACTGAAAAGAAAGTCATTTCGTGGTGGGACGGCAAAAACCATGACTTTCAGTATCTTCTATTTCCTCACGGCCGTGTTCGTCGATGAGAATTGAGAGTTTCATCATATACAACAATGGTTTGAGCTAGAAACCTTGAAAATACTTGGTATCTGTTGCAATGTCGCAGGGACTCTCCTGCGACGTGGTCGGTAACGTGCTTGCTCCTGGCCTGCGCTGTGAACCACACTCACGTGCCTCGCATTGCCCACGAGGGGCCGGGGCATTCTTGGGCTCTGTCGCGTCACCGGCGCTGTGGACGTGCGCAGGCACCTGCATTCTCACAAGCCGCGTGTCCAATGTGAAAGCTGCCCCTCTAGGGTGTTTTTACACCTCCCTGTTTTGCTCACCACACTCACCTGGCACCAGTCTTAGCAATTTTGCACATGGCACAAGCCACTGCCCACCGTGCCTCATCTTCACCCTGCCAGTCCGGGTCCGACAACACCGCCGCATGCCTGGTCATTGCAATGACTCCCTCGCCATCAGTCCGTCGAGGCGGGATTCACGTCTGTCCGTCTTGCCGTTATCTTTGCAATGTCTGGACATCTTAGTACGTGTTAGTGCTCAAGAATGAGGACTGGACAAACGTCGGCTGCTTGGTCTGCCTTTGTCTGTTCTGGCCTCTACCAATCCCTTCTGCACATACAAGGCAGAGAATCATTCAGAAAATCCTAATTCGATGTGCCATTCCCTTGCTTGAATACTTTCTCTCTGGTCTTTTGATAAGCTACAAATCCTCTTCTTGTCTGCAAGGCTCTGGCTGTTTTGGGCACTTAACCTTGCTTCTCCAGCATTACCCATGACGCTCTCCTCATGACCCCCCAGGGGTGGCCCTGCGTGATTCCAGAGAGTGAGACACAAACAGGGAAGCTGGGGTCATGATGAGAGGTTTTGCAGATAACTGGAGATCTAGTTGTTCATTTGCTTGGAGTTGGTATGAAGATGGGGACAAAAAGGAAGTTAGTCTCTAGGCCATGTAGGGCAGATGAGCTGTTGCCCTGGAAAGGAGCTGGAATGTTGTTCTTGCCCCCATGACCGGGACAAAGTGTTGTTTTTGTTGTTGTTCATGGTGGTGACGGTGGTAGTGACGTGCGTGCGTGTGTGTGTGTGTGTGTGTGCACGCTCATGTGGTTGGTTGTAAAACAAATCAAGAATTAGAGCTGCTTGCTCCTTCAGTGTAGAGGGAGGGCGGGGCTCAACTCATCCAACAGGCTGGGGGACAGTGTTGGCAAAGACACAAAGTAGATGAGCACAACCGTAGCGCGAGCAGCCCCCAGTTGAGGGCGCTTCAAGTGTTAGGAACGCGTGGTAAAGAGGTGGAATCCACAGGTCATTTGCACACCAGGAACGTGCCATTTATCCATCTGAGGGTTGACCACGATGTGCTCGGCATTGTTTACTGCTGGGAGTTCACTGGCGCTCCACACTCGTGGTCTCAGGGAGCCTGGCAGCTACCTTGCTGGTGTATCTTGGGCTGTGTTCAGGAGTTCTTTGATCAGATGACACTTCCATGAAAACTTCGTTACAATCTTCTCCTTACAACGTGAGAACACGTATGCCCTCCCTGGTGCAGAGACCAAGCGTGGGCTGGAAGGCGCTGGCAGAGATGCAGGCCATGCTCTGACGCTTTCTGCTTTTGCTCTTGGTGTGAAGGTTGGGGCGGTGCGGCCTTTCCCATCAGTGCTGCTTCGACATCTCCTTGGTCTTGAGCAGCAACCAGAAGCTGCTAGAATTGGACCTGAGCGACAATGCCCTGGGAGACTTTGGAATCAGACTGTTGTGTGTGGGACTGAAGCATCTGTTCTGCAACCTGGAGAAGCTCTGGTGAGTCTGCTCATTTCCCTGGGAAGCTCTGCCAACAGGTCACGTCTGGGGAGCTCTGGCTCCAAGCAGGCACAGTGGGCCAGAGTTTTAGTGTGAGAATGGTCTTGGCTACCCAGAAGACTTCCTGTGTTTCTCTCTGGGTGTTTGTTGATAATTCAGTCAGTTGGTGTTGTGGAGAAAGCCGCATACTGAGCCCTGACAAGGAGCATAAATAATAATAAGAAAAATGGTGCCTGCCTTTAAGGTATAATACCTACAGCCTAGCTGAGAAAATAAAACAGTGTAATGTATTGCTTTCCAAGAGTTTTGGAACATCATGACCCACCCTCGGTCCCCACACTGAATAGGAAAAATGTTGCCAAAGCAATGCAGACACTTGATGTTGTATGCAGTCCTTCACTGACCGCTTCTGGGAGAGCTGCATTTTGATGAAGGAGAGAAGAAGGCAGTTAAAAATGGAAGGGCCGATTCGCACCCATTAGGATTGCTGTTATAAAGCAAAAACAAACACACAAGATAACTGAAAAGCAAGTGTTGGCGAGGGTGTGGAGAAATCGCAAGCCTTGTGCGTCGTTGGTGGGAATGTAAAATGGTACGGCTCTGAGGTAAACAGCACGGTGATTCCTCAAAAATCATGGGATTCATTAAAGATGGAACTAGCATTTGAGCCAGCAGTTCCACTCCTGGGTATATCTGCAGAAGAGTCGAAAGCAGGGACTTAAACGTATGTGTCTAGCCCATATCATAGCGGCATTAATAACAGCTAAAAGGTAGAAATAACTCCAAATGTCCATTGATGGAAAAATGGATAAAAAAGTGCTACTTACATACATAACAGCCTTAAAGTGGATTCTGATACATGCTACAGCGTGGAAGGCCCTTGAGGACATTACGCTGAGTGAGACAAGCTAGACACAAAGGAGCGAGTGCTGTGTGATTCCACTTAGAAGGTACGCAGGACAGTGAACTGCATGGAGACAGAAAGCAGAGCGATGGTGGCCAGGGGCTGGGGAAGGGGAAATGCATAGTTGTTTAATGGGTACAGAGTTCCAGTTTTGCAAGAGGAAAAGGGTTCTGGAGATATTAATAGATGCTGGCGATGGTTGCCCAACAATGTGAGGGTACTTAAGGCCACTGAATTGCGTACTGAAAAATGGGTAAACGTTAAGTTTTATCTTACATATATTTTGCCACAATAAAAGTAAATGTAGGGAGCTGGGAAGGTGTAATGTTGGGATGAGCTTGGGAAGCGCTCCCTTGTTATTCCACCAAATAGAAAGGAGATCAGAAGTTGATACGGGGCTCGGATTCACTCCCTCCACAAGCACCCGGAGTAGAGGCAGTGGCGGCACGAGCGCCTCCTGACTTCACGGTGGGGAACGGGCGCGGTCGTGGCCCTGACGTTCTGCCGTTCTGCCGTCTCTCCGCAAGGTTGGTGAGCTGCTGCCTCACGGCTGCGTGTTGCCAGGATCTCGCCTCCGTCCTGAGCACCAGTCGCTCCCTGACGAGACTCTATATGGGGGAAAATGCCCTGGGAGACTCGGGAGTCGGAATTCTATGTGAAAACGCCAAGCAGCCACAGTGTAAGCTGCAGAAGCTGGGGTAAGTCTCCGTGGGCGTCTCAGCAGGAAAGCAGCTTCTCTTCAGCAGTGAATTGTTGGGCAAATGTGCATGGGGTCACTCTGAAAAAGATTAATCAGATGGAGTCGAAGGTAAAGAGGTAACACTGTCAGAAGGGGTTTGAAGCACTGGGTGCGTGTAACAATGCTATTGCTAATAAGGTAATTTATGCTAACTTATGATTATAGAATTGGAGTTTCTTAGAGTTGGAAGAAACCTTACAGATTGTATATTCCCCAATGACTAAAAAACCTGCTTCTAACACAACTGCATGAACAGTCACAGTTTTATTGCTGCACAATAAGGCGTCTACACCGGGAGAGAGCTCTTATACCCACGCAGCACCTTCTCTGGTTTCTGGGAATTAGTCCTTGTGCTTCTGCCCAGGGCTTGGAGGAGCAATTCCCCATCCCAATTCACCGGAAACGACACCGCAGTCTCGGTCGTCTTATCTCGCGTAGCCGTCTTGAAAGCCCCGGCTGGCAGGGCTCAGCACTCAGCGGTTTAGTCACGTTCTCCTAGGTAAGGGCTGGTTTGTCAATGACCCTTTTTGAAACAAGGAACCCAGACCTGAAGGTGCATGGTGGAACTTTTACCTCCCGCGGCAGCCCTCTATGGTGGAGCCTGTGGTTTCCTTGTTGTGGGCAATCACATAGGATTTTTGGTTCATGTTGGAATTCTGCAGTAAATAATGATACAGAACGCTTACTAGCAATCTTGCACTTACCAACGCATTGCCGCTCTTTCATGTTCTTTACATGGGTTATCTCAGTTGGCCTCATAAAGATAATACAAAGTAGGTATTAGTGTCTCTAAAGGAGGAAAAAAAGGCTTAGGGAGCCTTGACGTTGCCCAAGGACACCCAGGTGGGAGGCGGTGGGCCTCCATGTGACACACCTGTGTGACCCCACCGGCCACTGCCTTAATCCCAGTCGGCCTTTTCATTTGGCTCCCAACCTAAGCGTGGGGTCTCACATTTCGCTCTGCTAAATTTCATCTTATTTCTCTTTTAACCCATTGTCTAGGCATTTTTGAATCTTGATTCTGTCAATATTATCTACAAATAATAGATCTCACATTACTGATAAAATACTAACCAGATCAGCATTCAAGACAAAATATAATATTAATAGAAAGTGTCTTTCCTGAGAAGCAATCTATTAATCTGTTATTAAGCCATAATTAACAACCCATATATGTTCACGAAGCTCTGCCGCTTCCTTGGACTGTCCCATCAGCCGCTCGCAGACGTTGCCGTCCCACTTTCTGAGAGTGAGTCTGTGCGTGGCGCCTCCCTCCCTCCCCTGCGTTGTTTTTCTCTCTCTCTTTGTTTAAGCAGTTTGCCTTCTGCTACTCTTGGTTTGCTCAACAGACATGATTCGTTTGGCCTCGCTATTTTGCAGGCATTCTGGGGGCTCCGTGACGGTAGCAGTGAGTAACGCAGACCGAGACCCCGTTTCCGCAAACACGCATTCTTACAGGGAGGGGACGGCACACGCTAGACCACACACCAGCAGAGCAGTGTGCGATACAGAGACGCTCTGCAGCAAAAACTGGAGTGACAGCGAGGGCTGCTTCTTCGCCCAGGGTCGGCGGATGGCTCTCGGGCAGGTGGCATGGCGCGGGCCCCAGATGAAGCGTGAGCAGGAGCCGCGACGGAGCGGGGAAGAGCACTGCAGGCGGAGCAGGCAGAACTGAGAGGCCGGGGCACGGGCGCTCGGCTGAGCCTCGGGACCCTGGTTCCAACTGTCGTGGATCCGCCCCAGTCCTTATCTTAGCTGCCATCTGCTGCCTTTAATTCGTCTCACTTCCTCTTTCAACGCCTTCCTCTCTCTGTGTTTGGGTCACTGCTCAGTCTCTCCTGCCGATGTGACAGCTCTCCCTTCCCTGGACTCTGCGTTCGCTTCTCTTCCTGCCGTCTGGGGATTTCGCCCCTGGTGTTCTTTGCTTTACTAAACGTTTCCACATTCCCTGGGATCTCTCATACACCCCTCAGCTTCAAAAACAGCCTATAGACAGGTGGCTCCCCAAACAGGTCTCAAACCCAGATATCGCTCACGAACCTTTTATTACAAAGTCACACACGCTTAGTGTAAACGTATCATAATGTACACAAAGTAAAAACTGGAAGCTCCTTCTCAGCCCACCTCTGAGAGAGCCATTTACAATAGTCTGGTGAACAACCATCCAGGCATTTGTTATAAAATGGATTGTTACACAGTCCATCCATCCATCTGTTCATCCATCCATCTATCCGTTCTAATACACTTTATATGGTGTTTTAAATGACCTAGTTTGCTAGGGTCTTGCTCTGTCGCCCAGATTGGAGTACAGTGGCGTGATCACAGCTCACTGTAACCTCCAACTCCCAGGCTCAAGCAACCCTTTTGGCTCAGCCTCCCAAGTAGCTGGGACTACAAGTGTGCGCCATCATACCTGGCTAATTTTTCTCACTTTTTGTGGAGATGGGGTCTCACCATGTTTCCCAGGCTGGTCTAGAACTCTTGGCCTCAAGTGATTCTTCTGCCTCAGCCTCCCAAAGGGCTGGGATTACAGGCATGAGCCGCTGCACCTGGCTACATTACCATAATTTATTTAGCCACTTAGCAAATAATGAATTTTGGGATGAGTTTCTACTCTTTTGCTATTATAAACAACTCTGTAAATTGTAAAACAACAATTAGCGTATACAATTTTATGCATATATACTTTTTTGAGATGGATATCTCTAACAGGAATTAATGAGTCAAAACAGCCTGAGTAAGAGCGAGACCCTGTCTCTACCAAAAATAGAAAAAATTAGCCAGGCACCATGTTGCGCACCTGTAGTCCCAGCTACTCGGGTGGCTGAGGCAGGAGGATGGCTTGAGCCCAAGAGTTTGAGGTTGCTGTGAGCTCTGGTGATGCCACTGCACTCTACCCAGGGTGACAGAGTGAGACCCCGTTTCAAAGAAAACCAAAAATGAGTCAAAACTTTTAGGCATTTTATATTTTGTTAGGCATAGCCAATTTTCTTTTCTTGAACTTCAGATCCTTATCTCTGGCTGCTAATTTTGTCCCCCTACCCCAGTGTTATTAATATACAAGCATCACATACTAAACATTTGAAAAATTGGTTTAATTATGATAGTCTACCCCCACCCCCATCCTTTGACCTACTCCCGCCCTCTTTTTTCCTGCCTTGTTGGTTAGTGGGACTTTCCAGGAGGCTGCCCAGCTAGGGCAGTCCTAAATTCTCTTTACTTTCAGTTCCCCACACCTCTCATCTTTTTTACGTAACACCAACGGAACTTTATAAAATGCAAATTTTGAACATATTGAGCCTTTGTTCGAAAACCCCGAAAAACTCTTCCCTGAAGTCAGCGTGAAGCTGGCACGTCTTAGTTGGCACGTAGGTTATCCTCGACCTTGCCCTGTCTCCTGCGCACTCTCCCATCCATTTTGAGTCAGACTGAATTAGGTTTTGGTTTTAAGAACCTGGCCTAGTTTTTTAATCTTTCTTACGCTTACATACTCTTTTCCTTTTTCCTGAAGGGGAAGTTATCCCCCCATTTTCTACCATTCATTTAAGTAGCTCCCACTTATTCTCCAAGTAATTGCTCTGATTCTCATGTTTTCAATTTAAAAGTGGGATAAAAATAACACCCCCTGTTTTGGGTTTGTAATAATTCAATGAGATAATCCTTTTTTTTGAGACAAGGTCTAGTTCTGTTGCCCAGGCTGGAGTGCAGTGGTGGGATCATAGCTCACTGCAGCCTCGAACTTCTGCGCTCAGGTGATCCTCCTGCTTCAGCCTCTCTAGTAGCTGGGACTACAGGTGTGGGTGACCACACCGGCTAATTTTGGTCTTGCTATGTTGCTCAGGCTGGTCTTGAATTTCCGGCTTCAAGTGAGACTCCCGCCTCAGTCTCCCAAAACGGTAGGATCACGGGGATGAGCCACTGCACTCAGGTGATAATCGTGTTTAAAGTCATTATCCTATGGTCAAGCACATAGTAAATACTCAAAAAATGTTAGTTCTTCTTCAGTTTTCATTATGAGATATTTTTGTGACATAAGATAGATACTTAATAAATTTTTAAAAACCCCGAATTAACCTCATGCAGTACACGGCAGATACATGTGCTCAGTAAAGGCAGAACTGAGTTGAGTGGATTGGTTGAAGCCAAGGTATGTTGCATCGGTCACGTTCTCCTCTCCAGTGGACTGGACGTGGCTGTTTGATTTTCTAAACACTTTATTATGTACTCAATGTACTCAGCACTCAGCCTTCATGGTCACCCAGGTTTTGACAATTTGTGTGACTTTTTCTTAACAGAACTGTGCCGTATGTCTGTGACTGCTGCCACTGCGCTGTGCGGGGCTCCACACACGTCTGTTGAATAATCCTTTCTACTCTTTTTCTGGAAATAGTGAGGAAGCTTGCCACTACAGAACTTAGTATTTTTTCTTTTTCTTTGAAGACCATCTCTAGTCTACTGGAATGTTCCTGATTTTTGCAAATACCTGCTGCATGTTCATTAAGGACTCCGTATAGAATTCTTACCTGGGAATGAGAGCTCAGTAGAAGCCACTTAAAACTTGCTTTGTGGCCGGGCATGGTGGCTCATGCCTATAATCCTAGCACTCTGGGAGGCCAAGGCGGAAGGATCGTTTGAGCTCGGAGTTCGAGACCAGCCTGAGCAAGAGCGAGACCTCATCTCTACTATAAATAGAAAGAAATTAGCCAAACAACTAAAAAAAGAAATAGAAAAAATTAGCCAGGCATTGTGGTGCATGCCTGTAGTCCCGGCTACTTGGGAGGCTGAGGCAGGAGGATCGCTTGAACCAGGAGTTTGAGGTTGCTGTGAGCTAGGCTGACGCCACGGCACTCTAGCTCAGGCAAGAGAGTGAGACTCTGTCTCAAAAAAAAAAACAACAAAAAGCTTGCTTTGTTTTTATTCATCCCCCTTGGGCTTCATTTTCCCCCTGGCTTGCTTAATCTACCTTTTTAATTTGATTAATCCTTGACAGGGAGGATGGAGACCAATAGATGCGTAAATACTTCTTTTGCCTTCTGGCCATCTGTTCATGCTACACTCTCTGAACGAATTCCTTCTGTATTTCGATTTTTCTGGATTCTTAGATACCAAGATACCGAAGAGCTTAAAAAGCATGCCATTGTCAAGACCTCTGACAGGAAGGCATGTAATGTGTGTGTAGGATGTTCTAAAGCCAAAACTTTGTTGAATGCCTGGCGTGCGTGCTTTTCTGTATAACACACCACCCTGTGAGCTTCGGTGCAGGAGGGACACAGCTATCTGTTTCAGAGCCCCCATTCTCTTTTGGGGTGATAGAATATGCTTAATTTGACTCAAGCATGATATTAAGGTTAATGCAAACCTGGGGCTTTATGCCCCACCACACACCTGCTCTTCGACCTTGAGAGAAACACATGATTTCATGAGGCTCAAATGTCTAATCTGTGAAAGGTGTGTGAAGGTTACAGCTGCACCGCCCCTTGCCAGGTTGATACGAGAGTTGGGTAAGACAGGTCTCTGCAGGGCTGGGGCAGGATCAGTCAGGGGCACTCGGGTGTCTTTCTGGAGGCGGTGGTGCTGAGGGGCGTTCGCTGCCAGAAGGAATCCGTGTAAGAAGGTAGGAGAGTGTGGGCGGGAGTCCAGATCAGTTTGCTTTTGCTCTTCCTGCCGTACTGATCCCAGCAAAGTGTCTGCTGAGTCCATCACCTGTCTCTCCTGTGGGAGCCGGAGAAAAGCCTCTCCTCAGGTGACATCCAAGATACTGGCTCCTGACCTTTAATTGAAGGGTGCAGCTGCTGAGATGGGACACTGAGGACTGTCCTCCTGTTCCTTCCACAGGTTGGTGAATTCTGGCCTTTCGTCAGTGTGTTGCTCGGCTTTGTCCTCCGTGCTCAGCACTAATCTGAATCTCACGCACCTTTACCTGCGAGGCAACGCTCTCGGAGACACGGGGGTCAAGCTGCTCTGCAAGGGGCTCTTGCTCCCCAGCTGCAAGCTTCAGGTGCTGGAGTAAGTGCCGTGGCTTCCTACGTGATGGGAGCACATGGTGGCAGAGGGAAGTTTGGGGGAACGACCACGAGATAATCTGTATCTCAAAAGGTGTGAGGCGCCTTCCTGGGGTTTAATTGATTACAGGACCTTGGGACTGGGAAGAGTTCTTCCAGATCTGTGGTCCTCAACCCCTGGGCCGCAGCCCACTGCTGGTCCATGGCATGTTAGAAACAGGCACCACCTCACCACCTGAGCTCTGCACCGCACCCGTCCCACCCGACACCCCCCCACCCCCCACCCCAGTCTGTGAAAAAATTGTTTTCCCGAAACTGGTCCCTGGTGCCAAAAAGGCTGGGGACCACCATTCTAGATGGTGTTAAGGTAGACACTTGAGTCCCTTTTACCACAATCCTTTGCACCACAAGTGAGCGAGGGCAGTATGGCTCTTGCATTTTACAGAAATTTAGGGGAAGACACAGAATTTGGGAAAAATCAATTCACAAACCACTGTTACTAATTGGATCTACACAGTCTGGTAGACTTGAAAAAGATACGCCCATGTAAGAAGGAGAGAAGAGTAACTGTTGGCATACAAGAGTGCTTCAAGCAAGCTCATCTCGTGCTTGGTTTTTTAATTGTATTTGGAGCGATACAGGTTAAGATCTTGGGGACCTGGAGGGATGGTTAAGCAGACATTTTTCTTAAATCACCCCCTTTCTTGCAGACTAGACAACTGCAGTCTCACCTCACACTGCTGCTGGGATCTTTCCACACTTCTGACCTCCAACCACAGCCTGCGAAAGCTGAGCCTGGGCAACAATGACCTGGGTGACTTGGGCGTCATGATGCTCTGTGAAGTCCTGAAACAGCAGGGCTGCCTCCTGGAAAGCCTGCAGTAAGTGTGCGCTGTGGACATTCAAGTCATGGCATTCAGAGTGCTAAGAAAAATTTGCCCAGTTACCAAAATTCAGGATGGCTCGGGCTTCATTTGCACTCAGGGTTAGGTTGGGCCTGGGCCAGTCATTGAAGATTTGTTTTTCAATAGCTTATGAGCTACCTATTTAACTTCATGCAGACATTCAGAGTCATCAAGCTCAGTTGGGTGTGAAAAGACTTTGCATCCATATTCCCCAAAGAAACACAAGTCCTAATGAGATAATGGCCAAATTGGATTATATTTCTATATAAGAGATTGTACTTTGTGGAAGTAGTCTGTGGTTCATCCTCATTGCCAAAGTCTTTACTATTGAGATGTTGTTTTGTTTCGGAGGATTTCTAAATGGGAAAAGAATGCTCTGGAAACATCAAGATTAGAAAACCCAGCAGTGTGTTAGGGGACTGTTGGCTCACTTCCATCTTTAGTGATATCACTAAGGTAGTCATTACCTCTCTAGTGAGAGTTTCCTAGTGAGTCTCATGGCTTTTGTCAGCCATGATGATCACACTTTTCCCTTAAGACATTTCCGTTGCTTGGTTTTAGGGCTAATATTCTCTGGATTTTCTCCCACTTCATCAGCTATTTCTGTTCAGTCTCCTTTTTGGCCTTTCTTTATCATCATGACCTTTATATGTTGAATCCTTGAGCTCAGTTCTTGGGCTAATTTTTCTTCTTTATACTTTCTCCCTCATTTAAATCCTCTGGTCTTCTTGCTTTACCATGTATGTGCTGTGCCCTCCAGGTTGCATCTGCATGAATTCCACGTCTGAATGTCTCTCTGATCCGTCCAAATCCAAACCTGTGTTATTCCTTTCTAAGACCTGCTTCTTTCCCATCTCGGTCAGGGGTAACTTACTCCTAGTTGCTCAGGCCAAAAAATTCCTGGTGCTATTTTTGACGTCTCCTTTTTCTTCTACCCACGTCCAATCCTGTTGGCTCCGCTTTGACAGCCTGTCCCCTCACTGACCACGTCACGGCTCCCGCCCTGGCTGACGCCATCCTCCCCGGCGTCTGGATTGTCGTGGTGTCCTGACAGACTCCCTACACCTGTTGTTCTGGCTGTAGCAGACAAAGGGTGTAGCTGAAACATGAGCCAGATCGTATCCCCCCTGTCAGCATGCTCCAGTGACTTCCCGTCACTTTCAAAGTCAGAGCTACAGACTCACGGCAGCTTCCGCGCCCCGCATGATCGGCCCTGCTGCTTCTGCGGATTCATCTTCCAACCTTTTGCTCATTCTGCTCCAGTCACGGTGATCTGTCGTTTGCACTTGCTGTTCCCGCTGCCTGGAACTCTCTCCCCTCTTGTTCCCACACATCCCTAAACTCTCTGCTTGGTGGTCTTTGTGAGGCTGTCTTTGGCCATCTTACTGAAAACAGCAGCCCAGCCTGCCCCTTTGTCTTCTCCTCTTATTTTCCCGTGTGTGCAGATCACCATTTTTTTGTGTTGTGTCATTTTCTTGTTTATTTATTATCTATGTCTTTTCCCCTAAATATAAATTCCTTTAGTCTAGGGACTTCGGTCCACATCCATCACTTCAAGGCTGAGGATCTGCTAGAATGCAGGTTTGAATAAACAGTTTATTTGTGTATTTATTTATTTAGAGGCAGTCTCACTGTGTTGCCCGGGCCAGAGTGCCGTGGCGTCAGCCTAGCTCACAGCAACCTCAAACTGCTGGGCTCAAGCGATCCTCCTGCCTCAGCCTCCCAAAGTTCTAGGTCTGGGATTACAGACACGAGCCACCGTGCCGGCCTTAGATAAACATTGCATCCTTGTGCAGACACAGTGGAGCACGTTTGCTGTAGGACAAGCTGATGTTCCTGGAGCTGAGACAAATGGAGGAACAAAGGGATGGATTACTCAGGATGAAGCTGGAGACACTGCTGTTTGCAGGGTCACTGACCCAGTCTTGGGGGATGTTCAGGACCCAACCTGGGGGTGCGGGCGGAAGCTCAGAATAGACTGGCCAATGCATGTATGTAAATCACCCTGCCTTATCTCAGGCCGCCATAGCGAAGTACTATAGACTGCGTAGCTTAAACAACAGCAATTTATTTTCTCACAGAGTTGGAAGCTGGAAAGTCCAAATTCAAGGTTCTGGCTATTTCAGTTGCCGGTGACAGTCCTCTTCCTGACTTGCTAATGTCATCATGAGGGCCCCACTCTGATGACTTTATGTAACTCTGCCTACCCCCCAAAGGCCCCATTCCCAGATACAATTACGTCAGGGGTTAGGGCTTCAGTGCATGAGTTTTGAAGGAAGACAGACATGCAGTCCGTAATACGACTAAAGCAAGATTGCTGGACAGATGGCTGATTCCTTAGTTAGGTGGCAAGGGACACTTCACTGCAGAGGAGGACGAGCTCATACCAAAGCCTTGAGGCTCAGCAAGCATGGCAGGGCATGCACCTCAAAGGGCTCCTGAGTAAGTGAACATAACGTGAAAAATTTGACAAGACAATTGAGGACATTTAAACACTGGATATCTGATGATATTAAGAAATTACTGTTCAATGTTTTTGTGTGGTAGACATATTGTGGTTATGTTTAAAAAGCCTTCTTTACTCAGTGTCACAGAGTGAAATATTTATAGATGCATGAAATGCTGTTTTTAAAGTAATCCATCGATGTGAGGAGTGGGTAGGCGATAGACGAAACAAAGTTGGCCGTGAGCTGTTCTAACTGCTGAACTCGGGTAACGGGCACGTGGAGATTCATTATACTTTTCTCTCTACTTCCATGCATGTGTACAGTTTTCCCAACTTGAAGGTTTAAAATGTAACAGAAGCCACACTGGACATGAAGCTCAGCATTTTAGAGCTCAGAGGTGTGTGGGTTAAGGAACGTGAGAAGATAAGATTTTTAAGGCCCAAAACTCTGAGTTTTCTGAAAGAGTACAGCCCAAGACTTTCTATTTGTTTTTACAGGTTGTGTGAAATGTATTTCAATTATGAGACAAAACTTGCCTTGGAAACGCTTCGAGAAGAAAAGCCCGAGTTGGCCATTGTCTTTGAGCCGTCGTGGTAGGGATGGAACCAGGGCTGCCGGATGCCAGTGTTCTTTGCCCGCACCCCCAGGCGTCCACAAGGGGGCGAGCCCTCATCCAGCAGGGTCAAGACCACAGCCCTGCCATCCTTCCAGTCCAGCGTCAGGGAGCAAAACTTGGCGATGACGCCCTTGCGTGGCGAACCTGTGCCTCTCCTTCACCTCGGGGCAAAGGTATCAAGGCAGGAAATCATCCGGGTGATATTCTCGTCGCAGTGCCTCAGTTAGAGGGTGCTCCTCGTGGGGTGACCTCGTGTAATTAACTCAGTTAATAAAACAGTTTCTCTGTTTCTCTTTTCATCTTCTTACTCTTTCTACCCGCCCCCTGCCATCGTTTTTCCTTCTTTGTTCTGTTTCCTTTTGCTCATATCATCATTCCTGTTCTCTTTCTAGTAACTGACCAAGGCACAGAACTAGTTGACTGTGTATTATGTGGCATTTTGGGGGCAGCTACTTATTTATTTTTAATTTTTATAGTAGTTATGTTTTCTAATAGGAAAAAATCAAACAGCCCCATCAAAAAGTGGGCAAAGGACATGAACAGAAACTTTTCAAAAGAAGACAGAATAATGGCTAGCAAACATAAAAAAAGTGCTCAACATCTCTAATCATTAGGGAAATGCAAATCAAAACCACAATGAGATATCACCTAACTCCGGTTGAGAATGGCCCTTATCAAAAAGTCCCAAAATAACAAATGCTGGCTAGGATGCGGAGAGATTGGAACACTCTTACACTGCTGGTGGGACTGCAGATTAGTACAACCCCTGTGGAAAGTGATTTGGAGATATCTTAAAGAGCTAAAAATAGAAATACCATTTGATCCTGAAATCTCACTACTAGGCATCTATCCAGAGGAACAAAAGACACTCTATAAAAAAGACATCTGCACTTGAATGTTTATAGCAGCACAATTCACAATTGCAAAGATGTGGAAACAACCCAAGTGTCCATCAATACATGAGTGGATTAATAAAATGTGGTATACGTATACCATGGAGTTCTACTCAATTACAAAAAACCATGGTGATCTAGCACCTCTTATATTATCCTGGATAGAGATTGAGCCTGTCCTTCAAAGTGAGGTATCACAAGGATGGAAAAACATACATCACATGTACTCGCCATCAAATTGGTACTAACTGATCAACACTAAGGTGCTCACATGGTAGTAATACACACTGGGTGCCAGTCATGTGGGGGGTGGTGGGGGGGCATAGAGCGGGTTGGGGGGTAAACCCACAGCTAATGGAGACAGAGCGTACTGTATGTGGGAAGGACATGCTTGTAGCCCTGGCTCGAGGGAGGCAATGCATTTCATGTAACCAAAATGTTTGTACCCCCATAACATCCTGAATTTAAAAAATAAATAAATAATAAAAAGAATAATTCATGTTTATTGTAGCTAGTTGAAAATTCAGGAATATGTAAAACTTTTTTGTATTTGTTGAGTTTAAGTCTTTCCTTTTATTGTACATCAGCACTGATCACTGAGACACTCCGGTACAGGGAGTGCCACATGTCAAACCCTGTGAATAACTGAATCACACAAAAGCTGACCTCCCCGTTGAGTCTGAGCCCTCACCCCTCGCCGGCCATTCTCTCTTTCCGAAATAGCCTCTTGAGAGCTCCCTTCACATCCTTGTTTCTCAAAGTGCGGATGAGGGGGTTGAGCGTGGGGTCACCACAGTATAGAAAAGAGTTAGGAATTTCCCTCCCTTCTGGGAAAAATGGCTCCGGTGCTGGATGTAGACGGCAGTGACACTACAGTAGAAAAGGAAGACGACCGCCCGGCGGGAAGAGCAGGTGTGGAAGGCCTTGCTCCGCCCCTGCCGGGACCGCATGGCCAGCACCGCCCTGGCGATGCGGCCGTAGGAGACGAGGATGAGCAGGAGCGGCCCCATCAGGAAGACCGCACCGATCACTGAGGTCTGCAGCTCGCTGACCTGCGTGTCTCCGCAGGCCAGGCGGATCAATGCAGGGACCTCACAGACAAAGTCATCCACCCGGTGATGACGGCAGAAGGGCAGCTTCATGGTGGTGGGGGAGTGCACCAAGGTGCCCAAAATCCCACTAGTCCAGACCAGGAACGCCAACGTCTGACACAGGCGTGGGTGCATGACGGCCGCATAGTGCAGAGGCCGGCACACAGCCACGTAGCGGTCGAAGGCCACGGCCAGCAGCAGCACACACTCGGCAGCTCCCAGTCCCAGGAAGATGTAGAGTTGAGTTGCACATCCCAGGAAGCTGATGGTTTTGTCTGGGCCCCAGAGATTGGCCAGCATCTGAGGGATGCAGCTGGTGGTGAAGCAGAGGTCCAGGAAGGAGAGCTGGGTGAGGAAGAAGTACAAGGGGGCGTCGAGCTGGGGGTCTATGCGGGACAGGATTATGATGGTGATGTTGCCCGCTAGGGTGACCGCGTAAAAGATAGTCACGACCACAAAGAGGATCTTTTCCAGCCTGGGACGATCTGAGAAGCCCAAAAGGATGAAGCTGTCGAGGATGGTGTCATTGTCCATGTCCAGCACCCACCTGGCATCAAGAAGAGCAACACATCAAGTAGAGAACTATCTGCAGAAGGCAGAGAGAATTGGGATTTGATTTTAGTAAAATTGCCTACTCTGTATTAATGTTCTCTCTGAACGTTTACTGGCCTTTCCTTCATCTCAGTTCCTTCTTGGACATTTCACCTGCCCATTTCTCCAGACTCGGATGATTCTAGCGAACTGCTACAAAGCTAGAATATAGTAGGCAATAGCATTACTTGATTCTTCTATCCTTTCCTTTAGAGTCAAAGCCACTTTTTCACTTGTGCTTAAGTGACTTCAGGTTAATAGTTGTGTTTTTCAGTTCAAAAAACCAACTTAACTTCTGTTGTCAACCCGAGTCATATCCGCCTCTTTCCTACTGAGCAGAATTCTTCATCGAAGGCTGGGTCACTCAGTGACATCTTCATCAGAGGTAGCGACGAAGCCACCAGACTCTCATGAGCAGATACTGCACTGCTCGCCAGCCTCCTGCTTGCCGTCATGGCAGAGACTGGTAGGGGGCGGCCACTGAGCTGCTCTCTGCCCGCATCTGGAAAAGCCTCGGTTAGTTGATCTTCCACCAGAAAATTTAAATTTACTAGGTGTGCTTGTCCTATTTTGCCCTCAACTCCATGGAGCTGGCTATGGTTTTTCTAATGCCTGTGAGTCTCAAAACCTCCTGTGTGATTGAATTTGAAAATTGCTTCAGGACCTTCTCAAGCTGCCTGCACACCCTGCTGACTTCATGCTTCCTTCGGTGGGCTGCGACCATGCGAGAACGTCTGCAGGTATCAGGCGCTGTTGCTACTGGTAATTTGTCATTACCAAGGGTGGCATTTGGTCGAGCTGGGTTTTAAAAATAAAGCCATGGACACACTCCTCTGTTCATTGCAGATCTTTCTCCTGTAAGCTGCCCTGGCTTGCCCAGTGGACTGGGCCCTGGACCTAAATCCTGCCAAGTCCCTGAGGCACTGGCCGTCGGGGTCCTCAGGAGGCTGGTCCCTTGCGCCATCTTTCTACTTGACCTCATCTTGGTAGACCATGGAAAACCCCAGTCAAGACCTAAATAAACTACAGGGAGAAGAGCAGAGAACCCAGGCCCATGCCTTGTTAGGCCAGACACATTTAGCAAAGAGCAGAATAACAACAAAGGGGTAGACACTGAGGGAAGGGCATTGTCTCACCTAGAATTTGTGCACGTCGCCCGTTTGGGGGAACCAGAAAGTATGTCTGTGTTGAGCACTGTGGATGTGATGACACGGGGCTATGGCAGAAGGGAAACAGTGAAGCTCAGAATACCCCTCCTCTCTGCTCTCCGTGGAACATGCACCCTAAGCCCCTCCAAATTTTCCCTTCTGTTGCTGCCCTGCTCCCGGGCCCTTCCTTTCTGCTGCCCACGCCCTCACACTGCAGTGCCGGCTTCCCTCACTCAGGGACGCAGCAGCAGGCCCTGATGTCACACATCTCTGGGGACACCTCTCTGCCATCCTCCTCCTGGTTCAGGACTTCCTTTTACAGGCTGTCTTCCCATAATGCAAATTTAACACAGTTACTTGCACAGTCATAACTAGGTCTCTCTTTGCACGCTGCTCAACGATCTCTGGCTCCTCCCCAACTGCGGATGCCTCCGGCCGCCGCGCCACTTGCGGCCATCTCTCGGACACGTCCGTGTGCACGGCCCGCACCCGCCCTCCGGCCCCCGGCTGGTTTGCGCTGTCTGTCAGTCCAGCCTGCGGCCACTCCGATCGCCACGCCGCTGTGGTGTCCGCCGCCTGCCCCTGGGGCCTTACGGTAATTGGTTTTATATCAGTTACTCGGAATTTACGAAAATGCTATCCTGGCTGCCACCTGACGATTTAATATAATACATTTAAATTTCTCTCCCCATCTACATTCTAAATACTAGGACTGAACATAATTTTTCAGTTTGTTTGTGTCATCCGTGCTTACCTGCTTACAGTTCTTTGTTGTGAGATATTCAATCATTTAAAAACTAAGCACGTCTTATTCACGCTTATTCATCCAATTTTGTGCTTGATCATATCTTCATTCTTGTGTGAGAAGGGTCCGTGCTGCTCTCTCGCTAATGGCCACACTGGATGCTGCCACACTGGCAAATCCTCGGCACTGGAAGCGCCGAGCCAACGCCAGCCCGCTCTGCTCACTGACTGCACACTGGCTTCTCAGGCTGCCGAAAATGCAGAGAACCTTCCGTCTGAACCGGGAAAACACGCATGCTGGTCTTGATTGACACTTTTGAGCAAGAAGGATGGAATGTCTGTGCACGGGGTTTTTAACTGCTTGGGGCAGGCATCTCACTTCCCTCACTCCGGCGGCGCCAGGCGGACCACCGCCGTCTCCGCCACCGGCTTCGTCTCCGCAGCCTAGGCGCGACGGCGGCGATGTTCTTCTTACTTTTAGTAATAACCAGAAATAAAATCAATGTAGTTGAATTATTGTTCGATAGTTTTGAACAATACATTTTGAATAATTTTGAACAAAGTCAACCATTGACTTTCTAGCCGATATAATTGACTTCCTGGTCACCCTCCGCAACCTCAAAACAGTCCTTGTGATGCATTTCATAACAATATTATTATTATCCTAAAGAGGAGGTTTGTACTTTGTTTCATTTTGTCATTACTCTCTGGCCTGTGAGCACTTCTGGTCGGAAGGAGTTCCCTGCTTAGAGCTACAAGACGAATCTGGAAAATACTGGCACAGCGTGGTATCATGGAAGCGCAGGGAGAGACAAGGAAGTTTCTGGGCCACACTGTAGTGCAGCGGTCACCAACCTTTTTGGCACCAGGGACCGTTTTCATGGAAGACAATTTTTCCACAGACCAGGGATAGGGGGTGGTTGCGGGATGATTCAGGGGCATTGCATTTATTGTGCACTGTATTTCTATTATTATTACACTGTAATATATAATAAAATAATTATACAACTCACCATAGATTGGGGACCCCTGCTCTAGTAGGGACATGGCAAAGTAGGTTAAATTTGGGGGGTGGCTTCCTCCCCCCTTTCCCATATTCCTGATTCTTCAGCAAAATTTCCCTTAATCTGGATTATCTGCGCTCTCTCACGCCTCTGGGTCTTTTCTTTTTGATCTAACACTGATATTGGCAAGTGCCTCCGTTTCTGACGGGAGCAGCCTCTCCCGGAGGTGTCGCGAGTGTGAGTCCCAGTCCTCGCTCTGCTTCTGAGCACGCGCTCACTCACAGCAGCTCCACACACAAGCTCTGTTTTGTCCAGCACTATTCATTTATCTGAAGGGTGTTCATTTGGCGTATATTCTCTGATTTTCTACATTTCTAAACAAACGGGCTCCTTCTATTCCAAAGATTATATTATTTGATAAATCCTGGTCATCCCACTGCAAGTTCAGGAACTATTGTCCATTGTTTGTGCTGTGACATCTTTTCTAGAGTACAGTCTCCCCAAGGAGACCGTGTTACTTCTCACTGGTAGGCTTCGTACACTCCCTTATTATTTTCACAGCTCTGGTGACGCTCCTAGGCCGAGTGTTACCCACTCACATTAATCCACTGGTTAATAAAAGTCTACGTGTCATTACAGGCCCAAAGACTTGGGAGACTTTTTTTTTTTCTTTTTCTTACCAGCAACCATGTTTTGTCCACGACACTCTTGCATGAGCAAATGTGTACACACTTGCCACAGAGGACGTGTCTTTCCGTAATGATCTGTCTGGTGCTAAAAGCTGGCACGTGCTGGAGCAGACGAACCAGGGGGTCAGGGAGGCAATAACAAACCCTAAGAGGGCAGAGACAGACTGACTTTATCTCCTCTCTGGGTCCCAGCTGCCACAGCCTAACAACCGGGGACCCTCTTTCTCTGGTTTCTTACATCCTCTGAAAACTCACCTTTAACTCTTCTTGGATTTGAGAAATTCCCCCCCGGACCACATGTTCTGCATGGCCAGCAGAAGTGATCATGTGTAGAACTGTCAGAACGTGGCAACATGAAAACACCAGCCAATCTTAAGACCCATTATTGCCAGCCATGCTGGACTCGTTCTTGGTGCATTAACATCTCTACTGTTTATTTTGAAAAAATAATCTAATGTGAAATGAATATAAAGCAGTAACACAGGAATCAAGGCTGTGGTTATATACGTAAACTGTCTCTATTATGATGAACTTCTGGTCTTAAGACCAGCTAATGAATAAGTAATATAAATGTTCAGAATGATTACTGAAATTGTTGGTTTCTAGAGGTTTTCTCCGTCTCAGTCTCCAAACCCAGGCAAAGATATGCACATCTGTGGCAGAATTTCCCACCTGTACCTAAGACCGTCATTCCCATTGGCTTCTGTTCTTTCAGAAGAGAGTCCTTGCTTCCATCCCCAGGCTAACTTCCCTGCCTTCAAGTGCCCTAAGCACCATGCTTGAACTTCCCTTCCTCAGAATGCATAAAACACTTCTGATTATCATTATTATTATTATTCACCATAATGGCCTGGCTCATATTGTCCCCTCTGCCTGAGATATGTTCCCTTCCCCTCTCAATCTACCACACCATGCTTGTTCACAGTGGTATCACTCAGGTTCCTGCTTCCTTCTCAGATGTATTTTATAGTATTTCAAACCAGGTTTGGTCACAGCCTAAGCAGGAGGGCAGTTGACTCACCTCCAGGACATCACGTGCTGGAAGGGGGACTAGGATTAGAGAGCTGCTTTATTAGCATCCTGGGCTGCAGAATTCAGGGTAAGATGACAGCAACTTGCTCTTTCAGGAGCCCTGGAAATTTCCTGCATATTGCAGAAAGGTTTAGCTTGCTAAGACGGATGAGGCCATTGGGACCCCTTCCTAGGTGAAAATTAACCTTCAGTCTGATTGCCTTCTGCAGCAGGCTCTTAGTCTCCTGGGGACCTAACGATGCCTGCTGAGCTATTAGAGCTGGGAGACCCCTGGGAGTGTCCCATGAAGGGCTGCGCTCCTGAGTTCCTGAGCTGCTTAACCACTG